TGCATCAGAAAGCTGATTCTCGGCCAACTTGTGTTTTGCAGGCATAAACAAGAGAGTAAGTTCGGCCCCAACGCAGCTCCGGGATTGTTCGCTGGATTGCGATTGGAGCCGGGTGGCATTTGCCGTGCTGTGACCCTTGTACTTGATCTTGAAAAGCTTCGTTCCAAGTACGGCGCTTGGACAGAGCCAATCAGTGTTCCGGAAGCTGAACTATACGTTCGATCCGGGGATCCTGTGTTTCCTCTTCGCAACGACGCTGTGAGCACGCCCTGTTGACGTTTGCCGATGATGGCGACGTACCTGCGCAGGACCCTCTTCCGATTCCTTTCACGCCTCATGTATTTACCGAGCAGGGCGAGAGGAAGAAGCTTCGTAGGATCTACATCACGTATGCTAGGTTTCGCAAGATAGGCCCAACACCTGGGCCCACCTGGGTGCTATGCTTGCGATAACGACAAGAGCAATCACAACGCTGAGTGCATTGCAAGGTTTGAGAAAGCTTTTGGCAAAGAGACTAAAGTCCCTGAGACTCCTGTGCCCAAAGAGTTTTTGTCGTATGAAGATCTTCAGCTGCCTAGACCTCCTCCCCGTCCTGAAGGAGATCATCTCTCTGATTTTGAGCCGTCAGAAGCGGGTCCCGAAGACCCTCCAGCGATCCCTGCAGTTTTCCGACATCAGAAGCCTGGCGCCCTTGTGTTGTTCGAGATTGTGTCCCACTCACGATCCAATCTTATCAACATTGCCAAAGAGTCAGGCGTTCAGGTGATATCGATACCATGTGATCAAGTTGATTTGTCTGATCCTTGATCATTGACCAGCTCATTGGTCAGGTGTCTGCGGTTCCGGGTTGCAGTCTGTGCGGGTCTCTTATTGGAGACGGATGGGGAATCAGGTAATCCGGCTATGTTCAATGGAAGGCGCAGCGGACTTTGTTGGGCTTCCTTCAGGTTGCTTCGGTTGTCGTCTCAAACGGCGGCGAGATTTCTCTCGAATGGCCACAGGACTCTTCTTGCTGGTTGCCTCCCGAGGTTCAAGCCTTCGAGGATCAGTTCAGTCTTCGTAGGGTTTCGTTCAAGGGCTGCGCTCTAGGTATGGTTTCGACGTCCGGAGCTCCATTTGATGCCCCGTGGCAAACCATAACATCGAGCAATCGTACGATTGAGAATTTCAGGCCTTTCAGATGCATGCATGCTCCAAATGTCAAGCATTGCTCATCGAGTTCGCTTTGGCCGCGCGTAGCTTTCTATCCTGAGGCATTCTACAATGATTCTACAAAGTGCTGCTCATGTCATTGTTCCCTTTTGCCGAAGCGTTTCAAACGCCTGCGCTCCCGTGCGTTCCTTCCTTACCGCAAATCCATCGTGAAAAGGATTCCAAGCCCAAAGTTCCTCTTGATGTTCTTATGCACGAGTCTGGGATGAAAGAGGTTAAACTTCCGGGTTTGGTTCACCGTCTTCTCGATAGAAAAGAATGGTCGGGACAACCAGGGCTTTATGAGGCAATCAAGAAAGAGAAAGACGGTCTTGTCGGTGTTGGCACTTGGCTAGAAGAAGAGATAGTGCCGAAAAAGGATGTTCTTGCATGGGCCACTAGGACTTCTAATGTGATCCATTTCGGAAACTTGATGGTCATTTTATCCGTTAAAGGGTCTGAGCAGAGTCCAGATCAGTGGCGACTCAAAGCAAGAATCGTTTTTCGAGGTGATGACATCCGGGACCAATCGGGCATGTCTGCTGTCTTTGAAGAACTCTTCGCATCATCTCCATCCTCTCTGGAGGGATTGAACACAGCAGTAGCGTTTGGTTTGCTGGAATCACACGGTGTGACGACCAGCGATGCTGTGCGAGCCTATACCCAGGCCAAGCTCAAAACTAAACATCGCACTTACGTCCTCCTACCTCCCGAGTTAGTCCCACCTGACAAGAAGCACATCTTCCAACCCTGCGCGCTTCTCCACAAAGCGCTTTACGGGCATCCAGAAAGCTCTGCTTATTGGCAGCAGCATCTTGACGAGATACTGTTGAAATTAGGTGGAGTAGAATTCCCGAATCTCCCTTCGGTTTACTTCCTTAAGTCCCTAGGATTAGACTTATGCGTCTACGTAGACGATTTGACGTTGTCTGGACGTCGGTCACTGCATGATGGCTTCTGGCGCTCCCTCTCAAAGGAGGTTGAGCTCGAGCCGTTTGCAGCTTTGTCTAGAGTCCTTGGAAGGTGCCACAGATTCGTCTGCTGTCAACAAAAGAAAGCACTAGCCCTTGAATCCGCGGATTTCGCGAAACAGAGCGTCCAATTGTACGAGACAGTGTCTTCGCTAACGGTTAAACCCCAGCTTACTCCTCATCTCGACATCAGCACTGTCCCTGCAGCGGACGACGATTGTCGCGGCCAATTCACCGAAGCCGCAGCTAGAATCTTGATGAAGGTGTTGTGGCTGGCAAGGTTAAGTCGTCCCGACTTGATCGTGGCAGTCACAACTCTAGCATCACACGTCTGCAGCTGGAGCAAGAATGATGACCGTCGGGTTCATCGGCTTATTGGTTACATTCTGCATTCTGTGGATTACGCAATGATCGTGTGCATCAACGATCCTCCTTCCGAGTTGCGGTTGTCACTGTACTGTGATTCGGATTTTGCTGGTTCCCGTTACGTCTTGGCCGTTGAAGGTCCGCGCCAGAAAGTTGTGTCACGGTCCAGTACCGAGGCCGAGTTTGTCTCGTTGAGCGGGGCTCTCTTTTCCGACGCTGTTCCGATGCTCGAGGTATGGCAATCATTGATCCTTGAGATCAAGCTTCATGTCTATGAGTTGGGGTGTGCCCCAGACACGTTTTGAGGGCCACTCTATACTCCAGAAACGCTACAGGTATGTAACATGTGTAGGCAGCAGACAGAGGCGCCGGTTCCACAAGCATTGGCCCCTCCAGAAGCACATGTTCCACAAGCAGTGGCCCCTCCAGAGGCAGATGTTCCACAAGTGTTGCCCTCCACCGAAAGCAGATGTTCCACATGCATGCGTGGTGCTCGAAGAAGCCAAATGTTCCACATGTTATGCCCCATCAAGAAGCATGTGCTCCACATGCGTTGTGTTCCAAAAAAGCCACAAACCGTCTACTCCACAACTATTGCTTCCACCCACAGACCCAAATGCCCCCTAGTTTGCAGCATATCTTCCGTCTTACGTCTCATACTTCTCTTACTTACCTCCCCAACCCCCAAGCTTTGCTGGCATTGCTAAGCATCTGCTGGTGGACCGGGTACCCAAGCCATAAGTTTGAACTCTCCAACTTAGGTTTCCTGGAACCTCTTCTCAGTTGCATGCGCTGCGGAACATTTGCGGAACCAGCTATGGAACCTTAGGCGGTGTTGCCATGGGAATTTGGTAGAATCTTGCGCACGGCGGCTTAAGAATATAGAAGTGACATGTTTCCAGGCCAACTTTCGCAACTTCTTCCTAATACACACAAGTTGTTCCGCAAATTGTTCCGCACATAGACCAAGGTGTTCCGCAAATTGTTCCGCACATTGTTCCGCAAAAGTTCCACACATACGCCAGAATGTTCCGCAAGATGTTCCGCACATAGACCAAGATGCTCCGCAAGATGTTCAGAGCATTGTTCCAACACACACGCCCACACACACTTGTTCCACATGAGTTCCGCACTATGTTCCGCACACACACACAGGCGGGTTCCACAACTTGTTCCGCACACTTTGTTTGGTGTTGGCCTTGCATGAACGTGATAGTAGGGCAACGTCACAGCTTGCGTCAACATTGACTCCTTCGGGCAAGGACGCTCAAGCTGTTGACTGTCAGAGAAGATGCGTTTGTATCTGGAAGGCAAAGCGTTTGAGCACAGAAACTCAAGCGTTTCAGCGTGGAACTTCAAGCCTTTGAGCGTGGAATCTTGAGCCGTCTGGTGTGGAACTTCAAGCCTTGGAATGTGGAAGAATGGGCTCGGGTCCACTGGCATGGGGGGCCCAAACCGGAGTTTAAAAAACATGTCGAGGGCACGCCCCAATCTATGAGGATAACCAGGCGTGTATCGCCATTGTCCGCAAAGGATTCTCTGCCAAGCTCAGACATCTGGCCAAAACTCACCGTGTTAACGTAGCCGCTAATTGCGAACTCGTTATAACCTCAACCCAAGCATCCTGCTTTCTTACATCAACACTGACAGTCAGCGAGGCGATCCTTTGACAAAGGTCTTGCCTCTTCAGAAGTGGGCTCGAGCACTTGAGTTGCTTTCCATTGCCACTGTGCGTCTGCCTGATGTTGATTAGGTTCGGTTGGTTGGGGTTTCGCTTTCAGTTGAGCTGGATTGCGATATGCGCATCATCAAACGTTGTGCAAGTGATTCAAACTCGAGGAGCTAAGCTTCGCATCGTTATGGCACTTTGCTGAGCATTGCGCCTGAAGATGTCGTGACGACTTCTTCGTACGTGTGAGCCTCAACCTGTTAGGCTGCTCCATGCCCCACGGGAAGAGGGAAGCACGAGGAATCTACGGTAGGTTACCAACATTGCTTCCTCGAGTTCAAAATTAAGTTGGAGACTGATCACCTCCATCATGCATTGTATAGTCATTTCAGCCTCTACAATTCAGAAGGGGGGAGTTGAAGAATCTCGAAGATCCTCCATGTAAAGATTGTCTGATTGTGTAGGGCATGACGTCATCGCCAACGACTTTGGCTCAAGCATGAAAAAGGACGGCGCTGGGCCTCGTTCTTGCGTTCAGGGCCGGGTTTCCTTTTGTGGTTTCCCTTCCCTTCCTCTTCGTTCTTACCCTAACATAGCGTTGTCTCTGTTTGGGGTCACAATAACTGTTATCCTCGAAACCTACCCTAAGGCATATAGTATATACTTGAGCCCTAAAGCTACTATACAGGAACCTATTCAAGGCCCAAGTATAAATATACTGCATAGGTACTTGACCCCCTAGGTCTTATTTGGGCTGGTACCAACTAATACCAACTACATCTACCCCCCCCAAACCGATGCAGGATTCCGCGGCGCAGGAAGCACTGGATCGGGTCAAGCAGTTGGAGGTGCTCTCTGCCAATAAGGAAGATTCTTTGGGGCTTTGGTGTTTGAGGGGGCTGATAGGGCTTGTAGATCACAGGAAGGAAGGTGTAGTTCAAAAAAGCAGGCTTCCATTGCAACATCTCCGTAGATGCATGGGATGTTTTCCCCCTAAGCCCAAAACCCTAAGGACCTTGAGAAGCCTGACCCGACAGGCGATTCTGGTGCCTGGTGGGTCTCAGGGCAGTGAAAAGGCTGGGAAATCTCAGGTGGAGGCTGGGCAGTCGAGTTTCGATTGGGGTTGGTACTGCAAACCTGGAGAAACCAGTACTTCTGACCAGGATTCCCATGTGCCAGCTGATCGACCGCAGACACCCGTGTCTCTTCAAGACGGGGGTTTACTTGGGGTTGAGGTGTTCTTGCTTTCCTCGGGCTGTGCACTCTTTTGGGCACTTAAACCCCCTTGGCTTAAAAACCGTGGCGCGCCCAAAACTCGAAGCCCTTGGGTCGCAATGGTGCCTTTAGGGTTTGGGGCTCAGTCCGGGTTCAAAAGGGTAAAAAGGGACCATGAATCTTGGACTTGTTGGAGAAGTTAAGCTTCAACTAAGGTTACTTAAGAAAGGTTCTCTGAGACCCTGCTCGGCACCCTAAACCCCGAACCACAAAGGTTTTGGCGGTTGTTCTGCAGGACCTCACACCCACACCATCGCAGAGGAGTCACCTTCTGGTGTCTGGCCGGTTCAACAGCAGTCAAAAGATGCGGCGCTTGGTCGTGTTTAGGGGTTTTAGGTGGTTTGGGAGTTCTTCCAGGATACTTCATGCGCTTGTGGGGTTCATGGGTTAGAATGCGTGCGTGTCAAGGTTCCTTCATATTCCCCAAATCTGAAACCCTGTGGTACCTTGACATGAATGTACCTTCCCTTATTGGGCTTAAGGGGGTGCTGTGCATGAATCTTCTTCAGAGGGTAGAGGGGCCAACCCCTTGCAAATCCCAGAAGCCTAGGAAGCCCAGGTACATGAAGCGGGTCAAGGAGTTGCTGGATTCCAAAGGGGTGCCCACCTTCATGGTCGATGCAGGAGGAGCTGGCGGCACGTTTGGGGATAAAACTGCTCTGGGCCTTTATCGTGCCAAGGCGTTGCTGGCTTTCTGCACAGAGGACTATGGGGCAAAGACGGGAGCGCAATACGAGACGTACGTTGAGCTCAGGTACGCGCACCAGAAGCAGCTGCGCATTATTCCCATTCGGCTCTGCGAAACCTACCCCCCACAGCCAGGGGATGAAGAGGGTAGGGCTCAGAATGAGCTGGTGCTGCAGACCGATCTTGTCCGCATCGAGGATGTGGGCATGCAAGACCCCGACCGGGTAGCCCAGGAGATTTGGGATGTCTTCGCTCCCGAGGTGCCATACTATTGTGGGGTCTCAAAGCCATTAGTCACTAGGTTACCCGTTAAGGTGCAACCTCCGATGCCCTAAATACTTCAACGACAACAAGCCTCCCTTGAGGTTTCCGTACGCGCTGATCTGGAAGAGAAGGCACTCAGGGATCCGACGGTCGAGGTCTTGGGAGGCTTGGAGTCGATCGGTGTTTCGGGTTTCGGTGTAGGACCTCTAGGGCGGCCACTTCGAGTGAATTCCAGAATCGACTACGCGGATTCGTTTATCCATGCCGCTCGCTCTCGCTCTCGCTCTCGCTCTCGCTCTCGCTCTCGCTCTCGCTCTCGCTCTCGCTCTCGCTCTCGCTCTCGCTCTCGCTCTCTCTCTCTCTCTCTCTCTCTCTCTCTCGCTCTCTCTCTCTCTCTCTCTCTCTCTCTCTCTCTCTCTCTCTCTCTCTCTCTCAGCCCGAGTTCATCAGTGACAGGGGAGCACCTTAACCTCTATAGGCCCGAAACTCACAATATTCATAGATTGTTATACGATCATACTTTTCTATCGCAATATCATTGTATTACTGTACTAGTAGATGGTTGTATTATTGTTTCAACAGCCCCATATGATTATATCTTTCTGTAATAGGATGCTATACGATAAAGATTCGTTTGTTTTATTGTAATATTTGTAGATGATTACATGTCATATTATATTCGGGCTCTGGCCTGTGCATGTGAACTTGCGCACGCTGCAGGTGTCATTCCACCTCGATGACCAGCCTGCTCCTGCCACTGAGCTTGATGCGCAATGGGGCTGATCTAGACTATGGTCCCTGTAACTATAACGCATCCTAGTTCTTCTAAAGGCCCCCACGCCGCGACATTACAGTAGAGACACTTGGGGAGAGGATTTGAGGACATTCTGATTCCATTCCCACGGCCGGGGCCGAGGCGAATTCGGAGAGCTACGGACATGGCGGAGGACCTCTGATTCCCACGGCTGGGGCCGAGGCGAATTTGGAGAGCTACGGACATGGGGGACCTCTGATTCCCACGGCCGGGGCCGAGGCGAATTTGGAGAGCTATTGTTTGATCCGAATATTTTGTGCTGCATGGACGTGTTGAACTGCTTCCGCTTAAGGACTCGGAACCCTTAAATCGGCACATTCCCAGAGGCTCCTGGCGCCCAAGAAGGGCCCAACGGGTTCAGCGGATCGGAGGATGATGGTGGCGACCTGAGGCCATGGATCCCTCGGCTCCCCCCAAGAGAGTCAAGCGAGCATAGGGCCGTAACTGGGCTTTTACACCCCAAACTAAAGTATTAGGAGAGGGCCGGAGAGGGCACCACATTTGGTACCAGCACCTGTTCCCAACATCAAGAAACTGGCTCGCTGTGGCGCTGCGCTGAAAAACTACTAAAAATCAATGTTCGGTGAGAATCAGTGAGAACCGCTCTCGCACCCCACCAGCCCAGCGGCTCTCTGCGGATCTTCCAATCCATCCTACAGAACGGAGTCTCCCTGTCATCCTCCTGCCTGTCGGCATCCTCCTCACGGCCGCGGGCTGGCCCGGGCCACCATCCCGGTTGACCTGGGCACCGCTGCTTAGAAGCTGCTCCAGTCTGCTCCAGCGCGTGCCTGCCGTTCTGCTGTCAAGGTCGCCAAGACTAAACACACCCGTGCGATTGAAGGTGAGGCAAAACGCCAAGCCGTTGCCGACTGTTGCGATGGCTAAATCTCCATGACACATCTTGCATGCCAGGAAGAAGCAGCATTGCACTGCCGCAGTAACGGATGTCTCGAACAAAATTGGGCACATTCGCCAGAAGGGCTTCAGACGGAGCCGCCGAACATCACTGCATCACGGCCTGCACCTACGGCTAGTGCAAACCGCAAGTGGGAAACTGCTGGCACAGAAAGCCAAGCGCAAAAGCCTGACCACGCGCATGCCTGGGCTGCCGCTGTACGTGCCCAAGGACGAGTCCTCTACTTGCGTCTCCTTGCCCTGGCGGCTGCCACGTCTGAAGGTCTCACACACCAGGCCCGAGTTATGACCAAACAAAGCCGCGCATCAACCAAAGCAGCTTAGTGTGCCAGACAATGGCATTTAATCCTAAACATTGAAACATCGACAGCAGACAGCAGCCCAGGCCTCAGCTCTCTTACCCCTTACGTAAGGAGTATACCTTAATTTATACAGGGATTCTTATTATGATTTAAGGTATACTGCTTAATTAAGGGGTATTGGCCTCTTTGGGGAGCTTGTTGAGAGAGTTTGGGCATGGCATGCCTGTGAATTGCCGAGACGTAAGTTGCCGTAGACTCAGGCCTGGGAGATTGCTTGGGCTGTTGGGATGGTTTTGGGGATTTGGGTTGGCGGGGGCAAGATATAGGCTCGAACCTCAAGAGCCCTCAAAAGGGTAAGCCTGAAACCCAAAGCTTCTAAGCCCTAAGCCCGCAACCAAGAAGCGCCTTGGGAGGCGTGCTGCGAAGCCCATGAGAATCGTGATTGGGTTGTGAGCCTCGCATTTGGGGCTTGCATGGGGCTCGTCATTGTTTTCGAGTGAATGAAGGTCGCCCACCCCTAAACTGGGGTTGGGATGCTTGAATCGGCTTTAATTTGTTATGCCGAGAAGCATGCGGCAAGGAAGAACCATGAGCTGCATTGTTGCGATCTCTAGCCGTTCCCTTTGCCATACTCCCTCACTGCTTTCAGGCCTTGTCCTTAGCGCCAACAGGTGAAGACCCTAGCTAGTTGCTTAGGTCCCGATAGGCCCATGGGCCTTCCGCAGTCCTTCTTGCCAGAGCCGGTAGCCTCCAGACAGTGATTTCGCAGGCGTTTGCTGGGCTATGCTGTCGTTGTCGCAGTCAGATGTTAAGACCAGACCGAAGACACCTTAACACCAGAGTTCCGAAAAGCAAGACATTTTTATCTCAGCGGATGACACTGGCGACTTGTGCCCAGAAGCTCTGCACCCACACTAGCGTCACTATCTGCGTAGCGGCAGAGGATTTGGCTTGAAGGACTTCCGAGGGCAGCTGCCTGTCAGATGGCAGCTACAATGCCCGTGCGCCTTGGGGTGTGTTCCCACTCCCGTTTTGATGGCCCACGCGGAAGACGCCGAAGCCTTCGACCCAGCCTCTGGCATGTGAGCCGAAATTGTCTGATGAGAGGTTTCACCTTCGTACTCAGCGTTTCTTCTGCCAGCTCGGCTGTTGTGGGTGTTGCATATTGTGCCACGGTGTGCAATGGGAGAGCATAGGGACGCCGTGGCAGAACATTCGCACAAGCACATCGAATCAAAGGCACATGTAAACAGGCTACCGGGTGTCACCACAGCAAGAGACCCCAAACTCATTTTCGGGGACAGTTCTGTCTGGCTTGCTGCACTCTTCTTCTCATTCGGAGCGTCCTAAGACACCGCTCCCTTGTTGAGTTTGCAAGATCATGCTGCAGTCCTGCAACCTCAAAGGGCGACTCCAGCAGCCCCCTCGGGGATTTTTCCGTCCTGTATCATCCACGAGTGCATGAAGCATTGGTCGTGACCGCACTTGCAAAGAGGATCTGCCAGCAGAGAGATGGTGCCAGACTTGTCTTTATGAAAGGCAGCACGCAAAGCCGAGAGATCCAATTTGCAAGCTACCGCAAGATTTGCGAATTCTTTCTAAACCCTTCAATTCGTCAAGAGATGTCAAGAGCCACGGCCTGAGAAGCAGAGTGTCATTGCATTTTTGGGCATGGCCGCTCATAATTGTTTTAAAGCTGTCTGGTAGTCTGCACCGGGCAGCGGAGGTGGCAGTAGTTAGTAGTTGATGTGAGAGTGCGCCGCATCAATGGACCTGAGCAGTTCAGTGGACATGAACGAAAGTCTGTTTTTTAGCGGGGCACGGAATTGAATCACATGATGGGATGGAACAAGTATGTCCTGCATGTTGAAACTATTGAAACGTGGCCTCATGCTACTGTCTGGCTTGCTGCACTCTCCTTCTCATTCGGAGCTTCCTAGTCTTGAGGCAACCGCTCCCTCTTTGCGTTTGCAACGTGATGCTGCGTTCTTGCAACCTCAAAGGGCGACTCTAGCAGCCCCCGCCGGGAGTTTTCGGTCCTGTATCATCAACGAGTGCATGAAGCAAGTTGCTGCCCGACCCCTGGTTGGTTTTTGGGGGTGGCTGGGGCTGCACTGCCCGTGGAGCTTCTTGTCCGCTCATGGACGTTAGGCTCGTGCAGTCAACACTCCGGTGGGTTTTAGTCCACGTGCCCGTAGGGACACGGTTTCCCACCTGGGGAGTGCACTTGCATAGAGGATCTGCCAGCAGAGAGATGGTGCACAGACTTGTCTTTATGAAAGGCAGCACGCAGAGCTGAGAGATCCCATTTGCAAGCTACCGCAAGATATGCAATTTTTTCGTACCACAGAAACCCTTTGAGACGTCAAGTGCCACGGCCTGAGAAGGAGATTGTCATGGCATTTTTGGGCATGGCCGCTCATAATTGTCTCAAAGCTGTCTGGTAGTCTGCGCCGGGCAGCGGAAGTGGCAGTAGTTGATGTGAGAAGGGGAGTGCTGTTGCCATTACCCATCAAAGTCCCAAAGGATGAACGCGGCTTTGCAGATATCCGGCGCGTTCTTCAAACAAGGCTTCTGGATACAAGCGTCTTCTGGAATAAACGATACCGATAGAACATGTGCCAGACAGAGCCTTGCTCGCCAGCTTGATGCATACGCTGCTGAATCTTGCGGGCGGGGAAGGAGGGCAAGGATGGTTAGGAGCTGCAGCTCCGCTGAAAAGGCAGGCCGTAAGGTGTCGGGATTAGGGACAAGGGTTTGTGCTTTTGGGGTGTGGGGAGTAGAGTAGGGATTAGAGTGGATTAGGGTTTAGGACTCTAGCCTTTTTCGGATCAGGCATCAGGGTCTCGGATTGCGGGGGGGGGGGGGGAATTGAAGGGTTTCAGAACTCCAGAGTCAACAACAGAAAACCTCTGCGCTCCCTGCATCACTCCAAGGAGAAATCTTCGTATGCGATTGGGATCTGGATCGTACCGGTGGGTGAATCCTGTGAACTAGATGATCTGGCTTCGAGGCTCCAGGTCATGCAGAGGGGTCCATGCACAACTAAGTACGTGACCACGATTTACGTCAATTCCAGGGATGTCTAGGAAATGCTCAAGACCCTGAAGCTGTTGTCGAGTAGTCACTTGAGTAGTCTTTATATACAGAACAACAGGACGTCTCATAGTTGACAGTTTGAGAGAGCTTGTAGACTAAACTACGAGCTGCTTGATAAGGATCCAGATCGGGCAGCGGCCATAGAACCTGACTAAAGCTTGAGCCCCGGAATTTTCATTTCGTTTCTGGCCTTGTGAGGGAGGAGGGGAGGGAAAGGTGGTATTCGGGGTCTCAGGCCACATCCAAGGACTTGGGTCTTTCTGAATGAACTCGCGACCCACTTGAGGTTTTTGCAGGGGCAAGCTTTCCATGGCACGTGATGGGATGGAACAAGTATGTTCTGCATGTTGGGATCATTGTCTCCAGGTCTCATGTGCCTTCGCGCTGTTCTGTCTGGCTTGCTGCACTCTCCTTCTCATTCGGAGCTTCCTAAGACAAAGTCTTGAGGCAAACGCTCCCTCTTTGCGTTTGCAACGTGATGCTGCGTTCTTGCAACCTCAAAGGGCGACTCTAGCAGCCCCCGCCGGGAGTTTTCGGTCCTGTATCATCAACGAGTGCATGAAGCAAGTTTCTGCACGACCCCTGATTGCTTTTTGGGGGTGGCTGGGGCTGCACTGCCCGTGGAGCTTCTTGTCCGCTCATGGACGTTAGGCTCGTGCAGTCAACACTCCGGTGGGTTTTAGTCCACGTGCCCGTAGGGACACGGTTTCCCACCTGGGGAGTGCGCTTGCAAAGAGGATCTGCTAGCAGACAGATGGTGCACAGACTTGTCGTTACGAAGGGCAGCGTGTAAACCAAGAGATCGAATTTGCAAGCTACTGAGACAAAACGTGCAAGCGAGTGGAAATCAAGCACGGCCGCTGGTTGTTCCTGGTAGTCTGGTAGTCATCATTGCCGTGCTCTGACGAAAAGCCGTTTGCCTATGGCCCAGTGGGTAAAGGCTTTTTGTTTGCTGTGGCCTGCCTGCGGCCCGAGGGCCGCGGGCAACAGGAACCCAAACCCAACTCGGAACCCTGAAAGGAGTGAGTGGCTGCGAAACCCCCAAACCCTAAAAGGAGTGCATGGGTGGGTGCGAAACCCTGAACCCTAAAAGGGGTCATTGGCTAGGAAACCCTCATACCCTAAAAGGAGTGGGTGCGTGCGAGACTCCAACCCTAAAAAAGCTGTTGCGTGAACCCAAGACAGGTGCGTGGCCACGCAACCTTCAGACCCTAAAAGGAGTGGGTGGGTGCGAAATCCTGAACCCAAAAAGGAAGGAGTGAGTGGCTACGAAACTCTCAGACCCTTGCAGGAATGGGTGCGTGCCAAACCCCAAACCCTAAAATGAGTGGGTGGGTGCGAAACCCTGAACCCTAAAAGGAGTGGGTGGGTGCGAAACCCCGAACCTACAAGGAGTGGGTAGATGCGAAACCACAAACCTTAAACGGAGTGGGTGTGTGCGAAACCCTGAACCCTAAAAGGAGTGCACGGGTGGGTGTGAAGCCATGAACCCTAACAGGAGTCAGTGGCTACTAAACCCGCATACTCTTATGCAAGGAATGGGTGGGTGCGAAACCCTGAACCCTACATACAAGGAGTGGGTGGGTGCGAAGCCCCAAACTCTAAAAGCAATGGGTGGCTGCAACCCTAAACCTGAAAAGCGGGTTGTGGGTGCGAAACCTTAAACGCTCAAAGGAGTGAGTGGCTGCGAAACCCCAAACCCATGTGGCCGCGTGCACGGGCCGCGCGTACAAAAATGCTATTATGGGCCCTCTAGATTCAAGCTTGGATGAGTCTCCGCCGCTTTCTGAAATCCACAGTCCACAGCGACTCCAAACGGTTCAGACCTAATCACATTTGTTGTATTTGGTTGTGACATTCTGTTGCCAAATCAACATCGAGGATTCCACGCAGAGAGACACCGAAAGAAGGCAGCAAAGCCCGCATTACGATTTCTGTAGTTGCAATGCTTCAATATGTGATTGTTCGTAATGTGCTTCGGCGGCAAAGTTCTCCAGAGATGTTTGAGGTTTGTGATCAGTCCCTTTTGGGGAAGTTTAGCTGTGCTGCTGCGATTCTCGTGAAGTAGGTTTCAGCAGTTTCATGCGAATCCAATCGTGTTTGTTTAAGCATCAACTTGAAATCAAAGGTGAAGCAAGCGGCTTGCATCGATGTTGGAGCGGGGCCGTGAATGCTTGACGGCATCTCGATGGGCCTTCACACAAGCCCATGAAGACGCAATGCACCACGTTAATGCCAATGGTTGTTTCAACCGTGTGTGCTTCGGATGTTATGAAAGTATAACAGACTTCGGGTTACATCCATCGACTATTCATACTCTGCAGAATCAACTTTCGGTTTCCAGTTGTGGCCAG